CCCGAGTGGGAGCCGTGATGTAATCTTGGGAACCCAAAACAATCGGCCCTTTCATGGCAAGACGATAACAATCAAAACAGTATGTAAGGGCCTGCCATGCAAGAATACACATGCACATTATACACTGGAGGGAACTGAAAGCCGGAGTGAAAAGGGGCTTGTTAAGAATATGTAGCCTGCTTTCATAATCAGTTTGTAAAAGAATAGGCCCTTGAAAACAAGGGTTTAGGCTTATAGAAGGCTTTCTGTGCCTTGACCTTGCAAATATGCAGAGATGCCAACTTTTTTTGAAAGTGAACTTGGAGTCTCCCAGCGTGGTGCCACAGCGGTTGGCAGGCAAGCTGGGGGTAAGAGGTCCGGCCCTGGTACGTTCCTGGGGGGCATCGAGCCTTTCCCTCTCGCCCACGAGGAGCTGGTCCTCGGTGGAGCTCCACCAGGATGCCACGGTTTTACCTTTTCTTCCTTAAAACTGCAGCGCTGGGCTCTGCTGCAGAAGAGGATCAGCCCAACACAAGGGCAGACCCATCCCCGCATCGCCGGAGCTCACGTGTAGGTGGCACGTGTTCCAGTGGCGTTTCCGTCCCCAGATTGAGAAGGTTATGGAGGACGTCACTGTTATCACCCCCACCTTACAGATGGGGAAGCTGAGGCAGAGAGCTGGGAAAGGTAACGTGTCCAATGCACGTTGCCTCCTTGATCCTCCATGCTTCGTAGGACACCTGAGCCCCTTGTGCCCAAACGGAGGGGACACCCAAGTGGCATGTCATGAGGATGAGGTCGGAGCCAGACTCTTCTCAGTGGTGCCCAGCACCAGGACAAGGGGCCATGGGCACAAACTGAAGCAGAAGAGGTTCCAGTTGAATATGAGGAAGAACTTCTTGACTTTGAGGGTGCCCAGGCTGCCCAGGGGGGCTGTGGAGTCTCCTTCTCTGGAGATATTCAACCCCCACCTGGCCGCTGTCCTGTGCCCCCTGCTCAGGTGAGCTCCAGAGGTCCCTTCCAACCCTGTGATTCTGTGATCCCCATGTTGGCCAGGGTGCCGGTGGTGGAGCCGTGCATCCCCAGGCAGAGTCTGGTGTGGCTTCCCCCGGGCTGCTCTTTCTTTAGACCAACGCACATTTGTAGGTTGGGGATGAGCCACAGCTCATCCTCCTTGTCTGCAAAATGCCTTTTAGCTGGCCACTGGTGACGCATCAGACCAGACGGGATCTGCTCCTAACACCTCGCTGTGGGTTGTTCCCCACCTTCCTCGCTTTCGAGCCCCTCATGTCTCTAAACATTCCATTCTGGTGACTGTCCCTCCGGCTACGTTGGCTCATCTCCCCGTCATTGTCTCCTCTGTGTCCCGCAGGGCACCCGGAGCTTCGGCTCCCCTGGGCCAGGCTGCTCCAGTCTGGTTTTGTGCATCTGTTTTACAATGTGTTTCTTTGCAGTCGGGGGAAGCCTTCCAAGAATCCCCACCTATTTCCGTAATAAGGACGCCTTTGTTTTCCTCGTACACAATGCAGCTTTGATTCAGTTGCTTTCTCGCCAGCCGCGTTGCCGTCAGCTCGACACGGGAGCTGCGGAGAAGGTGTGAGGTGTGCACGGCTCGGTGGCGAAGGGGGAGAGGAATGTCCCATGGGGTGGCTTTAGTTCACATTTGGGGCATCGGAGGGAAATCTGCTTTGCCTTAGCACCCGGACATCTCCTGAGACGCCGTGCTGGGCAAATGGAGGTGGCCCCTGAGCCTCAAGTGGAGGTACCCTCCGTGCAGTGAACCGAGGCAAAGCAAATAGCAAGGCTTATGTGTTCCTGGCCTCCGTGTTGCCGTGGAGTTATCCTCATCCTGATGGGATTAATGTCCCTGGGAAAGGCTCAAAAGGCCCCGAGTAAGTGTTCAGGCAGAGCTGCAGTGGGAGGAAGCGTTGAAGGAACGCGTGGCCCTAGGGGTAGGGGGAGCGTGGTCTGGGTCAGCAGAAGACCCTTGTGGAGACATGGAGGGGCTGGAGGCCAGGAGATGACACGGGGACCTTCTCAGCTTGATGCTGTGCCCAGAAAGTCCTTTCTGCCCCGTGGATGTCTCAGGGCAGGAGTGAGAAACCCTCATGCAGGGATGCCTGTGGCCAGGCACTGGGTCTCTGGTGGCCCGGCCGCACGCTGAGTCTTCGTGTGATGCCGGCACCTGCGTTCCGTGAGAAAACGGGTTAAAATCTCGAGCCGGGAGGGGCACACGTCACTGCCTCCCTGCTGAGGGCTGGGGCAATTGGGTGGCCTGACCCCAGCGGGTCCCTGTCGGTGTTGGAGCACGCTGTGACGTGACCCGTCGCACACCGTGACCCATCGCTGGCCGTAGCGCGTGCGTGCCGTGGCACGTTGCTCACCGCAGCCCGTTGCTGGCCGATCCAGCTGCAGCCCCGTCCCCGGCACGTGCCAGACCCGCCGGGCCTCCGGCGCTG